TAGGAGTCTCCTGTGACCATACCTCATCACGGGGGAACTGGAGAACCTCCAGGGGAAGGGTTCTCTTCTCTCCAAAGAGCAAAGGGATCATGGGAACCGAGTGAGAGGAGTAGATGAGCGCAGCTGATCCTTTCCCTTTAGTATGAGATCACCAGGCCTATAAGTTCTGACATCAGCTTTGCCAGTGCTCCTGCTCATCGAATCTATTTTAAACACAGCTCAGAGCATGTTTTCAGTTTTTAAACTATTTAAAAAAAAAACATTCACCACAGTGCTAGAAGCACCGGATTCAGATGTCTGAAATAATCCCATTATGTTCAGGACAAATATTTATTCATGTTCTTGTGTCCTGCCCTGCACCCCACTCAGCTGTGGACAAGAGAACGCAGCACATTGGCTTGGGCAGGAAAACATGTAATTTGGGGTATTCCTGGAGCAGGATAATAAGCTCTCGTGCACCCCACATATGACTGAACTTGTGCTATACAGCCTATATGCAATCTGAACAAACATCCCCAAACAATAGCCCTTTCTACATCTGCTTCTGAACCTGACTGTCCTGCCAGACAGTTGAATGCCCTGGAGGGTTATATTGCTGGGACAGATAATTTAATTTCCTCTGTAGTGCTGTGGGCTTTGTGGCCTCCTGCTCCGTTCCCATGGAGATGACGTTCATCTCACACAGAGACTAGTGTATATCTTTTAGTGGACAGGGAAAGGCACCGAGGACACCATAAGGTGAAATCCCTTCTGGTAGCTTTGCAGTAACTAAGAGGATGCTCAAGCTTCCACAAGGAATTGCATACAAAGTCCTGACCTCTCATGGGTCAGGGACAGATGCATTAACTACATTCAGGTTCCAGCCAGCTTATGTTCGCTGCCCATTCCAGCAGCAGCAGCCAGAAGAACTCTTCTAGGCGGTGTCTATTCCTAACTGTATCTTTCAGAAATCACTCATATGCAGCGGAGAGGTTCAGGACTGAGATTGCTATAGCAACAATATCTAATGCTCTAGCATTGCTGTCAGCATCTGGGTTTCTATCAGTGCAGTAGAGTCTATTCCCTACAGCCATCTAGAGGACAGACTCAAAACCTTCACATGCTTCTCACAAGGAATTACTGTAGTCTCATGATTTATTTTTAATATTTCTATTTTTAGTAAAAGTGCTGGGAGTGGGGTTTTGTTTTATGCTGGAGAGATTTTAAAAACTATCCTTTTGCCTGAAGCACAAACTGTGGGGGTGGGATGGGGTGGTTTAAAAAGTCCCATTTGGCTGCCAGGAAGGTGGGGAAAGGGAGAAACAGAAGGAAAAATTAGGCCAAAGGAAAGAGAGTAACTCTACCCATTCCTGAAATGCACTCACCTCCTGGGTGTAACATAGCAATTGTTTGAGTGCACAGCAATGCTATGCAACGGTTTTGGACAGGAAGTGGAGGAGAAACCATATAAGATGAGAAGGCATGAGAAGCCTAAGGAGGCAGGATGTAATTGCCTCTACTGGAATTGGACCAGGTCAATATTCTTAACATTTTTGGTTTAAAATCCCTTTTTGGAGGTGCTGTCTTTTGGTGATCTCAACAGTAGCACTGTGCCCCTCATGATGTCATAAGTATATGTAACAGCCACCATCCTAGCTTGTCTAGATATTGATCCCTTTTGGAGGTGTCTCAACCCCAAAATCAAATGCTTCTATCCCCTGGCTCTTAGCTGTTGTAGACTCATATCCTCTGTGGACCAGTCACTAGCGGGGGCTGTGTATCACGTTGAATGGATGGTTATATATGTCAACCTATTGGCTTAGTACAGGTTCACAGGGAAGGTCGCTGCCTGCTGAGGGCTTGTCTAGATTTAAGGTGCAGCTGTACTGCTAGCTCAGTGCCACTGTAGTGCTTCAGTGAAGACATTACCTACCCTGAGGTGGGGGTTCTCTCAGCACAAGTATTTCACCTCCCCTAGAAGCGGTAACCAGGTGGACGGGAGAATTCTCCTGCTGACCTACTGCTCTCTACACCAGCAGTTAGATTGGTGTAACTGCGTTGCACAGGGGAGTGGATTTTTCACATCCCTAATCATAGGTACCAGCTTTTTCCTTTGCTCGGAGGTACTTAACCCCTGCTCAGGCCCTGCCACCACTCCT